TATGTTATTGATATTATAAACTAGATTGCAGGGAACCAAAACGCTGCAAATGAGTAGTGAAATGTTGACCATCTATTAACAGGCACCATAAATTCTCTAACTGGATTAAAGACTCTTTTTTTTTTTTTTTGCATAGAATAAAAAAACAGTGACTGATGGAAATAGGGTGGTGGGGAGCACAAGGAGAAAAAAGAAAGAAGGTCCTGGCATTAACAAATAGCACTATCAACACCATCAGTGAACTCTACCCCCCTTATGACAACATGTAAAAACTGATCGAATCTTACTTAACCACAGGTTTGTGGTTTTGTAGTAGATGTAGTTTATCCTGGGAAGAGTATAGGGATGCTGCCTGGTTGTGTAAGGATGGGGTCAGGAAGGCCAGGGCACAGTTGGAGCTGAACTTGGCAAGGGATGCAAAGAATAATAAGAAGGACTTCTATAGGTATGTCAGCCAGAAAAGGAAGGTCAAAGAAAGCGTACCCTCCTTGATGAGCAAGACTGGTAACAACGGACGAAGAGAAGGCTGAGGGACTCAACAACTTTTTTGCCTCAGTCTTCACTGGCAACCTCTCCTCCCACACATCTCGAGTGGATGGACCGCAAGACGGGAACTGGGGAAGCAAAGTCCCTCCCACTGTAAGAGAAGATCAGGTTCATGACCACCTGAGGAACCTGAACATACATAAGTCTATGGGACCTGACAAGATGCATCCCTGAGTCCTGCGGGAATTGGCTGATGTAGTTGCCAAGCCACTCTCCGTAATATTTGAAAAGTCACGGCAGTCAGGTGAAGTCCCTGGTGACTGGAAAAAGGGAAATATTGCACCCATTTTTAAAAAGGGTAGAAAGGAGGACCCTAGGAACTACCAACCTGTCAGCCTCAGCTTTGTGCCTGGGAAGATCATGGAACAGATCCTCCTGGAAGCTATGCTAGGGCACATGGAGGACAGGGAGGTGATTGGAGACAGTCAGCATGGCTTCACCAAGGACAAGTCCTGCCTGACCAACCTAGTGGCCTTCTATGATGGAATGACAACATCAGTGGACAAGGGAAGAACTACAGATGTTATCTATCTGGACTTCTGTAAGGCCTTTGACACAGTCCCCCACAACATCCTTCTCTCTAAACTGGAGAGGTATGGATTTGATGGGTGGACTGTCCGGTGGGTGAGGAATTGGTTGGATGGTTGCATCCAGAGGGTAGTGGTCAACGGCTCAATGTCCAGATGGAGACCGGTGACAAGTGGTGTCCCTCAGGGGTCCGTATTGGGACCAGTACTGTTTAGTATCTTCCTCAGTGACATAGACAGTGGGATCGAGTGCACCCTCAGCAAGTTTGCAGACAACACCAAGCTGAGTGGTGCGGTTGACAAGCCTGAGGGACAGGATGCCATCCAGAGGGACCTGGACAAGCTCAAGAAGTGGACCTGTGTGAACTTCATGAGGTTCAACAAGGCCAAGTGCAAGGTCTTGCACCTGGGTCAGGGCAACCCCTGGTATCAATACAGGCTGGGGGATGAAGGGATTGAGAGCAGCCCTGCCAAGAAGGACTTGGGGGTACTGATGGATGAAAAGCTGGACATGACCTGGCAACGTGCGCTTGCGGCCCAGAAGGCCGACTGTATCCTGGGCTGCATCAAAAGAAGAGTGGCCAGCAGGTCGAGGGAGGTGATTCTGCCCCTCTACTCTGCTCTGGTGAGATCCCACCTAGAGTACCGCACCCAGCTCTGGAGCCCTCAGCACAGGAAAGACATGGACCTGTTGGAGCAGGTCCAGAGGAGGGCCATGAAAATGATCAGCAGGATGGAACGCCTCTCCTATGAAGAAAGGCTGAGAGAGTTGGGGTTGTTCAGCCTGGAAAAGAGAAGGCTCTGGGAGACCTTATTGCAGCCTTTCAGTACTGAAAGGGGGCTTATAAGAAAGATGGGGAAAAACTTTTTAGCAGGGCCTGTTGCAGCAGGACAAGGGGTAATGGTTTTAAACTACAAGAGGGTAGATTTAGACTAGATATAAGGATGAATTTTTTTACAATTAGGGTGGTGAAACACTGGAACGGGTTGCCCAGAGAGGTGGGGGCTGGCTTATCCCTGGAAACATTCCAGGTCAGGTTGGACGGGGCTCTGAGCAACCTGGTCTAGTTGAAAATGTCCCTGCTCATTGCAGGGGGGTTGGACTAGATGACCTCTGAAGGTCCTTTCCAATCCAAACTATTCTATGATTCTATGTATAAATAACTTATCCTGTAGTTGTGGAGAGTAAAACCACATATTAGGTTGCACCCATTCCATTATGGGTAGGAAAAACTAACGCGAAACACATTTTTGTATACTAATTGGAATGTTTAATTCCTAAGAATTGATACATTGATCATGGAGCCTGACCCCAATTCGTATCATTCTTTAACAAAAATAGTTACTTACTGTAAATATGTGGTATATGCTCACTCCATTTATGCAGGCTTTGTGACAGTGAGAGGTAACAGTGACCATCTCCGGTGGGTTAGAGCCTTAAGAGCTTGCATTATTTGTACATACTGAAACTTGCAAGTCTTTCTGTGCCTGAGATAAGTGACAGCACAATGTCTCATTTTGACAAAAATCCAGTGAATACAAAAGTCTGTCAACAAAGTTGCTACCAGTAACAGAGATGAAGAAAACTGACATAGGAAGCTCTATCTCCCCCAATTCTTTTCTTCCTGTGAAGAGCCAATTTAAACCAATTTAAACCAACTGACTTTAAAAAGATGAGCTAGGTTTTAATTCCTTTTTTTGAGTTCACATCCTACACATATTTAGAGAACATTAATATGCAGCAAACCAGTAGTCAGTGACTCAAATGCAGAAACCTATTGGCATTCAGCCAGTAAAGAATTTCCTATCAGATAGAATCAAGGGGGACAGTGACACCAACTCTACAGGGAGTCAATTGAGCGCCTGTTCAATATGATAGAAAGTTAACTTAGAGACAAAGGGCAAGGAGCAAAGATAATCATAATAATTCAAAGCAAATACTAGCAGGCAAATGCAGATAGGCAGATAGTAACGCACAGACAACTTTCTTGCGGGTTTATATTGTGACCTCCCTACTGCCCACACAGTGATCCCAATGCAGATTATTTGTGCAAAAATTAGACTACACTGCATAAGATATGGGCATGAAAATTGCTGATAAAATACACTTGTCATTTTTAACACATTCTAAGCTTGCCCAAAGGTCTCTGTTGTTCTGACTGTGAAAAAACTCAGGACTTCAAACATCATACATTTTTAAATTCTAGAGGAGCAGTAGAGTTTTATTCCCATAAAAATTGAACAGTCAGTCTTTTCACATGCACACAGAGCACGGAATAAAAGAAATACCTTCAACATTGAACTCTGAGATAGATAGATTGACAGACAGAAGGAAACACACAAATGCACACACGCACACACGCACACACAGAGCTGGTATATACGGGCTCATATCTTTACAACTGTTTCCTGACATGTATGAAGGAAGCAAGGATTATTGTTCTGCTTTTTTTCCCCTTTTAAAACACTTCTCAATCAGCAAGACAGAAAACTTTCTATCGAGCATATAGCATTTAGTATATACGGAAACCAGATAGGCAGATAGGCAGTGTGATAGACATGTAGTATTTGAATAGCTGAATTAATGGAAGAAACAAAGAAGAAATTATACTATTAGATTGCTTATATACTTCCTTTGGGGTTTTGTAATATGTACTTCATGTTTGTGGCAATTACAATACCTTTTAAACAAGTTTTTGTCAGTCTGTACGAGCGCATTCATCTTCCAGGATAATGCCTTTATCGTTTGAAGGTGGAACAGATCTGTGCAAACTTTTGAAGGAGTAAAAGGTTGATCCTGGAATACATCTTCTCTTTCCACAGCTGTATGAGAACCTCTTTCTTTTGTGAATTGAATGTTAATAGAAGCGCTAGCAAACAAAACACCAAAATCATCTTGCTCCTTTCAATGGAGAAGGTTATAATTGTTCCCCATATTGCCATAGGCAATGAACTTTGAAGCTACTGACTGGAGTCTGACCATCAGCTAGATCTGTGCATTCCCAATCTCAAGCAAGTCACCTCTACTTAGTCTAGCTGCCGTTAGCCACAGCACAAATAACTATATTTAAACACCTAAGAACCAAAAATTAGCTACCCCACACACCATACCTCCTCTCAGAACATCAACCTTGCAACGCTATCAGCAAGCAGCCTGAGTCTGGAAACAAGGGGAACTGAGACGACTACTTGCATGAAGTAGGCAAGTAGGTTGGTGCTTAAGCCAAGGGCCAACTTTTAGAAACAAATGGTGAGACTTTCATGATGATACACAAAAGACCGTAAAAATTGAGTCAATAAAAAAAATTAACACTGTGAAATTTCAGAGCTATTGCCTCTATGTTTTTAGAGAAAACATGGAACAACTCGGAATTACTTCAGGTATGGAGTAGCTATGGAGTTTCTATCAAATACTATCACAATGAAGGCTAAGGACTCAGTCTATTCCAAAGGATCTGAATCACAGATAAACTATAGTATAATTGATGCTGTCTCTTTGACAAAGATTGGAAACAGAATTCTACTACTGTACCAGAAATGCATGTCTGCTAAGATATAGAAGAAAAGTCCAATTGCTTTCCCTTAAGAGCCAAATAAATTATTTTAATCATTCAAATTAAATTATAACCAGAAAGAAGATAACTGATGCACAAAAGGCAAGAACAGCAAAACAGTATGAACAAGCCAAATGACACTCTATTCTCCCCAAAATGGCAACGTGATTTTATATGACATATTTTCATAAATAATTCTCGGAGTCTTTAAAAAGAGTTTGTGCACAAGAAAGGTTTGGTAGAGATGTCATGCTGGAACTGAAATGTTAAAAACATTTTCAAGACCCTTTAGTTGAACTTATCCAAGATGTTGGGCCTAAAAAAAATCACAAAACTAGACCCAGACAAATACACACATATTTTTTTGTTTTACCTTGCTGCGTTGTGATCCTGTCACCTTAAGGAAGGGCAAGGACAAGAAGCGAAATAGTAATAAGAAAAAGAAGTCCAAAATTTTTTTTCTGCAGGTGACTGACCAAATACATACACAAAATTGTCTTTTGAACAGATTAATACATTATTTGAACGTAAGTTTCATAGCTACAGAAAAAATACTAAAGAGAAACAAATGAATAGGATCTTCTCTCAAAAGATAAAGTTGAAGGCTGAAGAAGGAACCCATTATAATTTAGGTAAGGAGCACTAATAAATCTCTGACTGATAAATTTGTTCATTCACCTCAATGACTTCCTATTTATAAATTTTCACATTTATTAGCACAAGATTTTTGATATCTAACAAGCATGCATGGTCTAACCAAAAAAAGCTTATAGAAATAAATATTCTTTGTTTAGTCAATGATATGCCATACATTGCATTTCCAGGAAAAAACCAAACCAAACCAAAACCAAAAAAAAAGCACTAAAATTTGGATTCATACTTAGATATTTACCAAGAAACAGAAAAATATTTATGTATTGGGTACGTTAGTTATAACTCAACTGGACTAGAACTTCCGAGTGACTGAAAAGAATTTGGTATTGGTATTCTTTCTGATTTCTGTGTACAGCCAAATAGGGAATACGTACTTAAATAATTCAGTGCTATCTCATGCAGCATAATGTAGAAAACATACAGAACATCTGATGTGTAGAAAACAATGGGAGTAAAAGTAAACATGCCCCAAACCACTCCTCAAAAATCAAAACAGCACAAATCAATCAGTATATTTAGAAATATTTTAAAGAAATAATAAAAGCACGTATTTCATGTTTCTGTGTTTTAGAAAATATATTAAATATAAGTATTAATCAATTTGAAAGATATAAGACAACTTTTAATGTCAGAATTATAATATGCTAAAATATATTAAAATATTAACAAGCTAATTCCCTCAGTGCCCCTCAGAACAGACAAATTTATTGTAAACTCCATTTTATTAATGGAAAAAGAGAGACAGATCCCAGAGCAAACAGATGACAAGGACTCATCTCTTACTTTTGTAATCAACTCCTGTAAGTGTGTTTCCTTATACAATGACAATCAATAAAAACTCAACATTAAACAACAATAGAAGATTTCCTATTCTCAACATAAGAAAAAGCTCAGCAGTATCGATAAATAAAAGCTCACCTTTTACTAAGAAGCACTAATATATATGTTAACATAAAAATACTGTATAAATTACTGGTACTGAAAGTAAATGACTACTGCAAAAAGCAGTATTATTTCAGTATTTTAACCATCCAAACTAAAGGTAGGACGTGATACTTTACAAGCCTGTTATTATCAGACTTCCAGAATAAGTTACTACCCATAATATTTCTCTTCAACAACTAAAAATTTAAAGTCAATCAGATAAACATGTAAGATCCATTAAATTACTCTCCATATAATCTTATATTATGTGATACTATGTATGCTTTTCTTTTACTACTATGAATTTGGTGACTCATATCTGCCAATCCCACTTCTGACATGCAGTTCACTGGCATAAATAAGCTGCAGTAAGCCATGAACCAAGAAACATAAATGTCAGTTGGAAGCTATGAAATAATGTCTAACATGACCAGAAAAACAAAACAGAAGTATAATCTTACTTCAAAACTCTTCACTTCTTCTTCACCATCATCTTCTTCATCATGGCAGCTCTGATACCATGTAGAAAGAAAACATTTACTGATAAGTCGGGGAGGAGGGGGGGGACTAAGCCCTCCTTCACTTTACACATAATTTCTCTTGATCTTCTTCAATAATTTTATTAAAACAGAAAAGATGCAAAAAATAGCAAAAAAGTACCTTTGCCATAATGTCAGCATAAGCCATATATAGGAAATCTTCTTCCAATTTGCTGGTTAATAGAGAGAGGAAAGGGAAAATGAGGAAGATTAGAGCCCTTATAGTAGAATTGGAGCACCAAAATATTTTTAAGCACCTTAAAAATCTTTTTAAAGGATTTCTATCTCATAATTAATTACAAAAGTCCTTTTGGAAAATGAGAACTTAATTAACTAATACAAAAAGTAAAGCCAGCTACAAACACAGTGCTCAGAAATTCATAAACACCTTCTAATGAAGAGAACATAGTTAATTTTTCAATTATACCTAGAATACACTTATATTTCACATTCAGAATATAACTGTCGATCAGGAACACAGACAGAAGAGAGGTGTAGTAAGTCCTGAACACAGCATCCATAATTGTGAAAAAGTGTATAGGGGCTTCTACTTGTCTCTAGAAAACTCCTTACATCTCATTATCAGTCATGTTATAATCTCTTTACATACCACAGGCGAGAGAGGTTTGAGTGTAACTCAAACTCGCCATATGCACATACGCACATGTTTTGGCCTAGCCCATGCAATCTCACTTCAACAGAGACACGCATAACTTCAAACACAGGAGTAATCTGAAAATCTGCAGTCTCTCACACCACCCCTACCATTTTTCAGTCAAGGCTGTTCGACTGAATAGCAGAATAAGTTGATGTAAAGGATCAACTCTTTTAAGGCTTTCATCTTCTTCCGGTGGTTCCTCCCCAGGTTTCTTTAGGGAAAAAAAGATTTTAAAAGTATATTCAATTATCTATAATGAAAAATGTTTTATTCTGTGCAATTTATTAAACATTAAATACTCACATATGTAATTTTGATTTGGACAACCAGGAGGAAACAAGCAAAGTATGAAAAGCCTGAGTCCTGACCATGTTTATGATCATGAAGACTTACAAAGATGATACCATTTACAAAGCTTTGGATTGCCTCTCTTCATAAAAACTATCCCTCTTTCCTAGATTCTGAAAATAACTTCAATCTTTTACTGCTGTTATCCAGAACGAGTGGTAACCAGATTCCATCATTTGCTATTATATTGTCTGTTCCTCTCTATGTTAACAAGCTTCATCAGCTAAAAATTAGAATCCTCTATTCCAAGTCTTATGCCAGGTATGATGTTCACTGAAAGGCTTTGAGGGAGAAGAAAGCCAAACTTGAAGCTCACCAATAGTTTTAGACAGAAGGCGCCATACCTACCAACAAAATGCTGACAGGATGTAGAATTTTAGAAGATGATAAATCAATAAAGTATAAAAAGAAATTATATATCATTCAATAATATATATACACATACAAATAGGTTTTTTCATGTAGTTATTTTGCTTTCAGGTTTAGACAGCTCTAGTTAGTTCACTTTAAAAGAAAAATGTAGTCCTAAATACTATAATGGCAACCACCAAAGCAGTGTTTTGCAAAGAATCTATACAGAACTTGTCCTCTGACTTCTTGGTTTTTGCTAAAAGACATTTCAGAAAGTAAGTTTTGCATATCAAGTTATTAACAAAATTGCTTTGTCCAGACATATTTTTCTACAAAGCATCTGGTAGCTCAAAGAAAATTGGTTGCATAAATGCCCACTCTTCCTCCTTGTTTTCACCTAGCAGCATACACTAAAATACAGATTAAAAAAATTCCATGCATTGATAAGATTGTTCAAGTAAGAAATTATTATAACGTTAGATGTTATCTGTTAGCAACAAGGAAGAGTTGGTCACATGACAGATATAAGGAAAATTGATTTTTTGTCTATTAAGAAAAAAAATGGTGTGTGCTAGTGTCAGATACATTCCTGTGGGAATGGTCATAGATCTCTATGTGTACTACACTTCATATGTGCCTGTGAAGTCCACCTTTTCCACTTAGCTGTACCAACATGACTGGTTGCAGCTGAGAATTCACTTTAGTTGACATATATGCACAATGATTGTTTCACATGCTAGTCTATGATGGCCATACAAGGTTCATTTCATGTTTTGCAATGTGTGACAATATCAGTATCAATAACACGATCTGAACAATGTAAATTATAACTCTAGTTATATCTCACCATTATGGAGGTCTTCCCCTCTCTTTATTTCAATCTCATTTAGGATGCTGACCCTTCTCTTTAATTAAATGGCAGCATTCTATACTTGGTAATGTTATCAACCAGAATACCTCTCTAATGTTATCAAAACTGATGAAGCAAAAGGGCAGAAGTCGTGTTAATGTTTCATACAAGTTACTAGTTTTCATAGATTTAATTCCAATTAAATGGAGGATCAAATTCACCAATGACTGAATTAAGTAGAACTCATTATTAAGCATAGCATGAACACTAAAACCAAATGATTTTCTGACATTTCTGGGAAATAAGTATTCTTAATTTTCAATGTTTTGAGACACTTGCCCTATAGTTATTTAAGTGTAAAATAAAAAGCTTTAACTGAACGTAACGTAAGAGGATAAAACAAATAAGTTGGGTAAGTTTTAGTTGCCATTTCTAAATGTTGAAGATTTAAAAGATTTAATTTTTATATATTCTAATTATTAAACATCAATTAAACATGTTGTTCTTATCAATTATTATGTCCAGTAATGCCTACCAATAAAATTAATCAATAATGTTATCATGTAAGTTTAAGTGTTCATATGAAGTATTTAATTAAAGCAGAAGCATTTTAACTATTAATAAAGACAGTGTTGAATATCCTATGATTTTAATATCAACCATTAAAAATCGAGTTCCCTTAGAGACTTGATCTGTTGAATCAGAATTAAGAAACAGCAGAATTAAGCTCCTCAGTTAGAAGACTTGTCTATACTTTTTCCTTTTAATATACAGAGGCGGAAGAAGTAGTGCCACTTTTGTGTAATAGACTTAAGGACAGAAGATTCAGGGAACAAAACTGCAAGTTTAGTCCACTTCTCTGTTTTAGGGGATGCAAACACTCATCTCCCACATCCCAGAAAAAGCCCTTACCACAGGTCTATAAATTGCCTGGATCTGGCAAAGTCAGGAAGGAGGTGGTTTTTACTGCATTTCTCCCTTTAAATTATTTTTACTTAGCAGAAAAGAGTTCAAGATTCTCTGTATTGAGAAAGAACATACTATGATGTACAACATAGTAGTTTACTGACTAAAGAGAGTTAAAGGACGGGAAGTCTTGGATATAGTTTCTAGGCCCTGGATTGTTCCAGTTTTCTACCTAATACATGAACTGTTCAAAAACTTCAGACAATCCTTCAAGCATACATTAGAGAACCTCCTTTCTCCCCTTCCAGATGAGTTCTGCCACCACAGCCTGGGCTGTGATTCCATCTTGATGGTCCAATAAATCTTTAATTCCTTGCTACACCAGGGTACAGTTTCTCTAACAGGGACAGAGAACCTCCACCAGCATCACAACCGCATCTTTCATGAAGTCCAACACAACAGTCTGGGTCAGCTCCACAGAGTTGAACAGTAGAACCTCAAACTCTCATCCTCCATGAAAGTGCTCTAAAGCAGCAAGAATGTGATAGAAATTTATTTAGAAGACAGATAAGAATTTTGTTGGCTCTTCTGAATGAAAGGTGTCATACATCTCTCCTTAAGAGAGCACTGGAGACACACTTATCTGTACGCTTGAGGAATTACAAAGGAATGCCTGTAGATCTTTACTAAAGAATGATATAGCAGCCAATCCAGTCTGTTTCTGTCTTCTCTAAGACAGTTTTTCACGTAAGCTACCCGCTGGCAAGGAATTCTTCATAAACTTAGCAAAGATATGGTTTCATAGAGGAGGTAAGGAGACAACCCTTTATGACAGAGCGTAACCAAATGACCGTGCTGGGTTATTTCTTCATACATACATACCTGCACATACATACACACATGCAAAGAGTTATGTTGTTCCACATTCCATACCTACACACACATGTTCTCAACTGCTAAAACATAATTATTTTTGGCAATGAACCTGCATTATTTAAAACATTTGCAGTGTGTTGGGACACATGAAGATATCAGTTTAAAAGGTTGTATACAACGTAAGTATTTGCAGAAGTCTCCTGCTTTTTCACAATGCTTGATCAGAAAATAAGGATGCCACAAGAAATGAATTCTGCATGTGTACAGGCAAAAATGAACTTCCATAGTCTGCTTGTGTTGAGCTCATTGCTGCTGATCTTCCCTTCACTATTTTGATCCTTCTTTTCAAAATTTTTCACGACTTGGGTAGCTGCTTTTAAGCATAAGCTTTAAACAGTAAAGGCAAATTATTGTTTTTTTTTCTAATAGCAATTTTCCAGTTAGCTTCCTCTCTCTATTGCAGAGAGCAGGCTCTCCTCACAATAAAAAGATTGATCTCAGACTGTGTTCTGTTGGACCTCCCACAGAGTGAATCATTTCCTAGTAGTAGTTCTCGCCCAACCTTCAAAAGAAATACCATTCTGAGAGACAATTGTAAGGGATAAGGATACAAGGCTTTACCGAAAATCACCCCAGGGATTTACCAGGCTAAAGACATGGCTCTAGCACTTTACTGTTGGGAAAAATCCTTACCTCCCTGACAAGAGGATTCTTCTGCGAAGAAGCAGCAGACTCTGTCTGCTTCTGAAGGACTGATTAATCTAAGACTAGAATTCCTCTAGTTTCATATTCTAACCTTTTGACTTAAATGGCTTTAATGTGGATTATGAAGTCTTCAAATACATAAAGGTTAACTGCAAAGAAAGAAGGGAATAGGCTGTTCCCCTTCTCCACAGGGCAGAAGGTAAGAGATAGGGGAATGACAGCAACTGCAGGTAATTTAGACAAAAGTTTAAAAAGCTTCATAAAGGTTACTGAAGCCCTGAAGCAGACTGCCTGAAGGGATTCTGGAATTTCCATCACTTGTCATTTTTAACACCTGTCAGAGTGACTTGGTTATAGCTCATCCCTTTGGGTAGAGATAGCTTAGACAATACCTTATGTACCTCCCAGACTTAGAATTATTATTATACAAGATGAATTTTAATCCATAATACATTCCCACGACCCTTTGCACCCAGACGTACTGCTAAGTCTTCTATCAGTTTGTCTTCAAAATAGTGTTCTTCTGTTTCAATCCAAGATTTATCATAGCCTTGAAGAAAGAGATTGACGGCTCGGTGCCTAAAAAGGGACATTTAAAACAAAAGCTGTAAACTTTTAAAGAGAAGATTTGGTCAATATGAATTTCATTTAGCTTGAAAAACTGTCCAGTCATTACAAGTACCATTTAAAAGGAAAGCAAAATTTCTATGGTAAAACCTGCTGAAAGCACTTATTTTAAAAATTAAATTTACATTAAAATGCTCTATTCAAAACTGTGTCCCATTAACTTGTAAAACTGATATTAAAATGTAATAATAACGATTTTAGGAACAGATAATAAATAGAACTCTAAAGAAATTTAAATACAAGTAAGAAATAAAATAAATTACTTTGACACATTAGCGAGTTTTATTTTTAATATAAAATATTTTCATATTATTTTAATTTAAATAGTAAGATAACAGCAATAGATAACTTTGGATTGTGCTCAAATAATTGCATTTTTTTAAATGTTCAGGATTAGACTTGCATATCTAAAATAATAAACCATTATTTTTTCCTAACTCCATGAAATTAAATGGATGATGATTTAATGCAAAATGGACTGTGTGACAACCAATTCTCCATGAAGAATTTTATCAATCATCTTAATTTTTTAAACAACTGCTAGTCCCATATACTGAAAAGGAAGAAGTATAATTAAAATATACAGGAATGTTAGTTATGTGCATGTGACCTACTTGTTACAGTAAGAACAGCTACAGATGGAAATATCTTTGTTCTATTTTCAACTGTCACGGCAGCCTCATTTCAAGCTAGTATAATTCTCATGCCTTTGTGCTTCCTGGGACAGACTTTAAGATTCATCCTACTAACTATGGTAATACTAATAATATGCATACTTTTGGGAAAAACCAAGACAACTATTATGTTGAAAAGATCAGATACAAGTGTTCTGGAAATTATTTTTAGCAATTGCATGAAAAAACAGATGTCTCTACTTTTTCTGAACTTTCATTCCTTCCAGAATCCCAGGATTCTGAAATTTGCTTGACTATAGATCCCATTCTCTATTGAACAAAAAACAAGAGGAAAAGGAGCCACAGGAAAAGGTGTGAAATGCCTAGAGTATGTGCATATATTTCTTGTCTTGCTCTTCCCAATTTTTGTCAATGCTCTTCCCAAAAGTGCACAATAAATAGACAAGTTTTCAGATAAATAGTATCCGTTTATTTCCTGCATACAGAACAGTTAGCATCTAACAATGAAGGTAACTCCATATTTCCAGAGCTATACCACGGCTTAGGAGGAAATTTACCTCCCAAGATGGTATTACAGTGACACCAATATGTCTGTTTCTGCATTTATCTCCTATGAAAGGTATCTACTTTTCAGAAAAGAAAACATATCAGGAGGAACAGGTGGAATAACAGCAGGAGGAGAGAACTAGAAATTTAAACTTACAAGTTTTGTTATTCTTTTCATAAGATATATTAGAAGAAAGTAATTAGATCTATTAAAAGAAAGTAATATACAAAGTACATTACCACGCAGCTTATCAATTACTGGTTTACATGCTTTTCTTCCTCGTGGAATATGAACATAAATGCATTTGTGAAAGATAGAACAAATATAGCTCTTACCTTGGCAGATTATACAATGGTGCCATTCTAAAACAGGCAACTACTGCTCTTTTCCTCTGTTTAGACAGCAGCTTATGCCACACTGCTTTTTTGGACCGCTGAGGATGCTCAACCTGTTACATAAAATACACATGGAAAAATAAACAATGTGGCAACGTCCCTACTGTCTGGGCATAGTAATAATAATAAAAATGTGAGATAACAGATAAATCAAGTGGAAAGATAACGGAAGAATAATAGATGGGAAAAAGTGTTCTAGGCAGAGTTCAAGTGATCAGACAAATTGTAGAATCAGAATTTAGAAAATAAACTTAAAAGCAAAAATCTCCCTTTCCTTGTATGATACAGATATTCTACTTTTTTACTTCATACTACTACTTATATCTTTTTAGATAGCATATTATCATCGAGGCCATCTCTCACGTAACCTTAACTTTTAATACAAAGAATCTTCACTCTTTCTATCTTTTATATGTACAGGTATATGTACCTCTTTACATATGTACAGGTAAATTGTACACCTTCATATTGCCTCAGACAATACTTTTAAAGGAATTGTCTTAAATACAATTAATCTTTTATTTGTAATATTTACCATGACTAGCTACAATGGAAAGGAACTAACTTTAGAAATGAGAGACAGGCACGAAGACTTAGTTAGGACTAAATCCCTTCCATTAATCTGCATAGCTAGAATGAACATAAGATATTCCAAAACACTTCAGCAACATTTCATAATATTACAGCTCTGTCTTCAGATATGTTCTCTTTCTGCATCCTAGCTCTGCAGTAGCATGAAATGAAATTGGGTGTGCTCCATCCTCATCTTTTGCTCTTTCAGTTTCTTTTGTTCCACCTTGCATCCTTGTTTCCATCAGAAGAAAATGACTACTGTGGTCTAGAAGAGCAACTGTATGCAACAGTATATAGCCTGACTAGATAACTGGGAACTATGATTGCAGGCTGTGCTACAGATCACTGCTTTCCCACAGTCTATTCACAGTTTTTGCGATTTACTTCACAACTGCTCCATAAAGATTATATCATTTGATTTAATCTACACAACTCTTGCAGAGTTAAGGGGGGGAGGGGTGTCTTTATGTGGTGGTGTTTGTTGGTGGGGGTTTTGTTTGTTTCTTTTACGGACAACTGCGCTAGTGGAATAATAGCTACTCTGTCTCCCAACATCATCGAAGGAGTCAATGGAAGTTAGCATCTCTACCCTGAAAGACTTGGTGATTCTCCCTTGTAACAAAATAAAGCATTTTATTTAAAATATGTAGTGATGATGACATTTATGTAGACTCAATATTCAATCCAAACATAGTTATCCAAGAGGACTTTTCTAGTTTAGTGAAATACGAAAAATTATTCATTATTAAACGATAAACATTTAATTAAACAGACTAAAATACTGCCAAGCATTCAGTGAAATGGATAATTACACTTGTAAGTTTAAATGGTGACATTCTAAAACAAGTTCCTTCCAAAAGACAGAATACAAATGAGAAATATTTGTTAAGAGAAAGGATAGAAAAACGTTCACTGCAAACATATTTACAGTCACAAAACAAAGTCAGCGCTAATAATTTAGAAGTCAGACAAACCCAAATGTCAAAGTTAGATAATTAGTAATATCTTCACAAACAACTATAAAACTCTCTATACTTTCCCAAAAGAAATAGCCTCGGCCTACGCAAGCAGATCTCTGAAAATAATAAAAACAAAGAAGTTAGCTGTGCATGGAAAGAAAATACAAAGAATGAGCTGATCTTTGCCAGTGCAATAAGGAAAACATTCAGAGTATGTATATATGGAGAACAGAGTATTTGTACGTGGAGAGCAAGGGATTACACAAGACCATCATAAAAACAGACCCAGACCCAGTGCTCACATGTTCATTATTTTTAAAGACATTGAATTACCCATTTCAGTAACAAAAGCACCTGAGCACTTGTCTACAGAAGATAAGTAAAGCTGTGGGGCCAAATCTTTAAACAAATAGGTGCAAAATACCCAGAATAAAAGCAGCCAACATTTACTTCACTACAAGTCATTGTTTAAGTCTGATCAAAAAGATTGGTCTGAAATGTTGATCTGGTATTACAATGGGAATCCATCCTGTTCTGTACTACTGCTGGATTCTATATGCTGTGAGACTGATCCTATGACAGAACATGGAAAACAGAAGGATCGTACCTTGGCTTTCACTCCCTTGACCAATTTCTCCAAACCACACAAGCTTAACCAATTTTTATACATGATGGTATAGCTAAAATGCCAGAAACCAAGAGATTGTACATGCTGTTTGAACTCAAATACAAGAGTCTAATGCTGAATTATGCAACTCGTTACGTGCAAATCAATTTCCTTTCAGCTCTTTCAACTTTGATAAAACCAGGGTAAAAGACAAGACCTTTTGCCCCCCACATTTCTAGCTTTCCTCTACTCTTACTTCTTCCTCACAGCCACCCTACATCCTTTCAAATCAACACCCGTCCTCCTGTCTCTTTCTAGTAGGCTAACTGTGATTGCCATGGATTTACTTCCACATTCTATCACTTTTTGCTTGCTCTACACATATTCAATAACAGGTAAAATTCAGTGACTCCTCTTCATCCTCTTCTACCAAACTGTGTAAGGCTGCTGAACTTGATGCAAGTCCATATTAAGGCTGGCAAATCATATGAAGAAGAGTTGTGTGATGCAACAGCCGGGACATAGTTATTCACATCAACACACTTTGTGCATTCCAAGATCTCTGAAAGTCACTTTTAGCAATCAAGTGCTGCACAGTGTATATACAAGCACTTTCACATATCTCTCAGATTCCTACTTGACTGAACCAGTGATCTCATCACAATATGGAAACTTCCTGACATGTGGTCTGAAAACCTGTGCCACGCTTCTGAGTGAAACCAACTAATCTAATCAAAGGACAAGAGAGCCTTGAATTCTCAAGTGTTCTTTGAAAAGGAAAAAAAAATAAACCCTGAGCAAATTTTATATGCAGCCAGTTTATAGTCTATGGTGTAACCACCAGCGTTCATCTCTGCCACTAGGAATACCCTTCAAGTTAACGTGCTGCTTCATCAGTACATTTTAAAAAAGAAAGCCTAGAAAACACAGAACAAATCTAAAGTGCAATATAGTTAACAATTCAGTAAGTAAAATGGGAAAACTAAATTTATCAAGTAGTCTTTGACTTGTAAAACGTACCAACATAGGGGATTTTTTATTTAAAAATTTAAAGAATTAAAAACTTAAAGATAAGTAATAGACTCTTATCCCAAGGGGAGGAAACTAAAATCAAACCCAACCAACAAACACCTAACTTCCAACATTTATTCTTGGTTGACCTATTTCTGGGGACAAGTTTAATCAGAGAGACAAAACACAAAATTCTACCAGTGCTAGTGGGAAGAAGGACACAAAATAAACTACAGATTTTTTTAAATGAAAGTTACTGTAGTCCAGGTCACATAGGGAAGCTCATATATTTATGCAAAAAATATTAGATAAAACAATAGAGCTTCATGCCCGATTCTGAAACAAGTTAAAGATTCTGCAAGAACTTTCTCAGAAAAACCATTCATCCATCCTGCTTCTACTATTTCTTGAATGCAGCAAGTAATATTTGAGCTGACCAGGTTAATCTTGGTTTGTATTCACTGTTTCACCAGCAGGAAAACAAGTCTGAGTTCACGTATGCAAGCAATTTGTGGACCACCAAAGAGTAGTCTTGCTAAAACTTCCAGATCATCAAGAATTTTCTGAATTTCAATGCCAGCTTAATTTTCTAAATCCATATATTCTTGCCCACATTCACACAAACTTCCATACAGATTTTGTCAAGTGGACATTCTTCTTACAATTTTTTTAACTAGTACATAGTAAATAGCTTTCTAAAGCCATCACTAGAGAAGTTGTGTATCAAATCATCTGACTGTCCTACTCCATACAGCTATAATAGGCAATTTCTAACCAGATATTTACATAGGCAGCTTTAAGTTTCTTGCTACTTCAATAATTCAAGAATCTCAACTGAGGAAAAATATTTTGAAAAAGGCATTTTTTCAATAATTAAGTTGGTTTTTTACTCACATTTCATGGTCCATGGACAATTTAGTGATTACTTCCTGCTAGCTGAAATGCACCAGAAGGAAGCTAAAACATAGGTATCACTTTCTGAGTCCTTTTCCAAATAAATGATTGTTGGAGCTGCTGCAAACACACTGTGTGATCGATATAACCACGATATTGGATTACAAAACACAAGGCACATAAACAGTAGCCATCAAAAGAAAGAAAAAAGAATATAACATTAAATACAGCAGGTGAAAGTATAAATGAAAGGCTGAATACTTTATTTACATTAAGAAGCAATGGAATTGGGAAAATGTGTCTAACCTGTTCCAGGTGAAAGAGTACATTAGCTATATCAAGGACCCTTTCCACAGTCTTCTCTGGATCTGAGGAATCTTCAGTCCTGTTTGGTAAATCTTTGTAAAGTGCCATCTGCCACCTAATGGCGGGATCCTCAAGCTGCAGGAGAAAGATTTCACATGTCACCAAGGCAAAATGTTCCAAACGTAGGTCAAACAGTTTAAATAGTATAGAAACTGCTTCAAAGGACAACAGAAACACTTTATATGGCTAACCCACACCTTTACATGGCTAACCCTTACAGTGTCTGCTACACTGACTGGGAGAACAAAACTAAAGACTGATTTGTGCAATGTTTCTTGAGAGATTCCAGAGGAATAAAAATATAATAATCATACAAAGAGCAAATGATCATGGGCCAACAAATAGCACTGGCACCAGCAATGAATATATTATTTGAGGAAAAGCAATGAATATGAGGTAGACAGATATAATTTTGTACACTGACTTTCCAACAATGAAATTGTTGCTCTACTAGCTGGGATTACTTAGTTTTCGGTCATGGAATTTAGTAATATTAGTCTTATTTATGTCTAATCTTTTTCATTTTAGTTTTTTTCAATTGTTAGAAAATCCTAATTTTACTGATTACTAGCTAAAAAATGAAAAGTTAATTGATGAAAAATGAATTCAAGATGCATTTGCTTATTAGCCTAGAAATGATAGAGAACTGTATGAAGCAAAATGTTTTTTCTTATTTTTCTCTTTACATTTCATTTTTCCCCATTTCAGTGATCTGTGATTCTCTGTTTTACCACTAGCAATCTCTTTTTCTGTTCATTTTGTCTCCCCAGTCCTTCTGCTAATCAACACTGATGCCACACACCTTGCAACCATTTTTTGTGCCAATGACACTGAAGACAAATGCAATGTGTAACCCATTTTACTGAGAACTGTGGCCAGTGATCATTCCTGATTGTGCAATTTAGGTTTAAGTCACACTGGCCTTCCTAGAGCATTTAGGAGCCTAAACCCTACAAATTCGAATAGGGCTTAAACTCAACACTTACTTTTTCTAAAACACCTTTGTGGATCCAGATTTCAATTTGTGCCTAAGATGACACAATAATGCTAATTCACCTCCACAAAACATCTTATGATACACAGTTTACTGAAATTCCAGGAATGATTATAAACTTACACAGTCGCTCAATAATAGCTTATTACAACCTAGAAAGCCACAATTGGCAGGCATTTCTTCCACCTTTCGGCTTTTCCATTTCTTAACAACTGTCACATCCACAGTCTTTGTGTGAGCATTTGACTGGATCATCATGAATGGATAGTCCACAAAAGACTTTTTAATCACAGGTGGAGATGTCTTTTGATCTGAGGACTCCTCACATTCTATCAAGGTACAGCTTTTTTGTATAGATAGTTTTCTAAGGGTATGAGTAGTTGACATTTCAAGGTGTGAATTAGCATGGCTGGAAGAAGATTTTGGTGACTTGAGCTTCATCCATGTCAAAATGAATGCAAGTTTCGTCATCAATTTCTTGAAATAAAAGGCTCGGTACTGAGTAACAGCATGCAGGCATGCAAGGAAAGGAAAGACAGAAACAGGGTGAAGACAGATGTAGACAAAGGTAGACAAATGCATGAAATAGACGCCACAACATTAACAGCTAAAGATTCAGAAGGATGATTCTCAAACAGTGCGGTTTTCCAAAAAGAAATCAAGATAAATTACATTTTAGCTCTAACATAAATGACAGAACATGGTGTCCGTGAGAAGCAAAAGTGGTTAACAGAAAACACCATTTGAAGAAAGTATATTGCTATGGTTGGAAGAAAACCAGCCTTTCCAAAAAGTGGTATTTTTCCTCTGTTTTGAAAGCCACCTTACACAAACACCATTATAACTAAGTTACATATTAATTCATAACATTAAATAATAATATAAATTTATAAGGCCATGTGGCCTACATCCCTTTTATGTCTGACTCAATCAGACAACAAAAGGGTAGTGTATGCATATAGAACAATGGCATCTTTTTTCTCAACACAAAACATCATACTTCACTGTATTTGACATGTACTTGATTCATTCATGATAGTGACTGAATACTAGAGAATTACGGAATAAATTATATTGTACTTTGTAAATAACTATTGAATTTAACTTTATACATTATATTTTTAAATAATTAAGTTATACACAAGTTTAATGTGAACACTAGAATGTGTCAGTGCTAAATGATTCATGAAAATATATATTTCAAGTCACTGAGAACAAACTACTTAGCAATAGACAACAAATCATAATAAAGATAATAAATACAATAATAAATTGAAGTTTTGAAGTCCTAGAAATGCCATATTTTGTCCATAGTTGAGTTGACTACTTTTCACATACAGGTCAAAACCAGAGCTTTTCAAAGCTAGTAAAGCAATATGTAGATAGCTATAAAATAAAGCTAGCTACAATTTAGCTTTGTTAGCTACATATTATGTGGTTCCCTTTCAGAATGTCATCTTCCACTGGGAATTCATTTTACAATTAGGAAAATCCAAAGTCACTGCTGAAAAGTTTACAACTGGAAAATCCGTCAATGTGTACTTTGGATTAGCCAAGATTACTTCCTTCTTAATTATCAAGGCACCATGAAATTTCATCAATATAAGAAATTTAAAAGTACTTTTATTCTCATGCGTTATAAACAGAGGAGGTGATATGTTGCTGAAAAATAGCAAACTTTTAATTGAAGCAAAGGAAGTTTCTGAAGAGAAAGCACAGATCAAGGTATTAAGAAGTATCATTACTCCAAGACAAGAAGGCAGTAAGAGACAGAAATTTCTTAATATGCAGAATGTAACCCTAAAGAAACAAAATAGAAACTGAAGTATTTAAAACAGGAAGACAAGTGCTAAGAAGCAGCATGAAATGCCAGGCAAGACTTACAACTGCATGGCTCACAAAATGACAATATACACATACTGAAAATGTCAGAACAGAAATTCCTATCATCTTCATCATTAAGAAAACATCACTGAAGTTCACACACAAAATCACAGCACATTTAAGGTTTGTAAGTTCATGGCATGCACGTTGCTTAAGTACTGTTGCTCATGAAGATCTTCATAAATGCTCTTTCATTCCTAGTACTTTGCCTGTGTGGTTTCTTCTGCTTTTCGGTATATAACAATATTTGCTATGTAAGGATAAATATTTCAAGCTTTTTTTAGGATTTAACCAAATCTTTCGGTTTTAGTGGTAAACTTTTCTATGTGCAATCCTTATTATATGAAGCTATTGGACTTTTATTTGTAGTATTTTATGAAAAACGCTAATTGTTAGCTTTGCAAACTGATGTATCTTCTTGTGAGCTCCCAGAAACCCCAACCTCCACATAATCTTACTTGACATTGCAGCAATATACAGAAAACTTAAGATGGGAGAAAATTAATCTTCAGATATTGTTCAGGAAGAACCATCCCATTACCAAGTCATTTAAAAAAAAAAAACCAAAACATTTATTGCCATGCACTGAACTGCAGTGGAATCTAGATTTCTGGATGATTCTCAAATAGCCTTTCAGAAAAAAAGCCAGATTTCCAACTCAGATTTTTATTCTCTTGTAACCACTTAATGAGCACAGGAAATACTTTTAGCTTTTTCCTTGAGGTGAATAAAACCTGGGACAAGGGGAGGAGGTAAAGGACAATCCTAAATAAAGCACCATCCATGGGTCCGATTCCATCTTCCTTCAACAGAGAAGAAATGTACATCATTTTATTACACATCCGTATTATGGCTTCTTCTTTGCCATTATTTGAAGCATTAATAAAACAGTTCAACTACAGTGGGCCAGTTCAGGACTTTTTCCCTAGGGCTATTCATCTGGCACTAATTGGAATTTGATAACAAAAATCTACAATTTTTCCAAAATACTTTCTTTTCCCTGGCCTGAAAAACAGGAACAAAACTGAGCAAACTGGAGATTTTTCACTTCACAGAGTATGCCAAAGCGGCAGCTTCCTTTTCCTTTACACTTCAAACTGCTACAAAGTAACTTTGAGCATTTTGAAGATTCTATCCCGGAAAATAGAAGGTAGAGTTTAAACAGTGATAGACCTTGCTTCCATCTCCAATTTCATATTAATGGTGTGCATAGGCAGGGATTTGAAGGGCCACATGTCATTGTATATAATGCGTATATAAACACATTAAAAACCTAACATTTAACCTTGACATGAACAAGTTACTTGACAGAACAGAAAAAGGGACTACAAGTTATCCTAATGAACAAAGGCAGGCTGTGATTATATGGCACCAACAAATTAATTCAAAGGAAGAAAAATCATGTTTAAAAACTGCATATAGATTACCTTGCCCTGGAGATGAAGATTACTGCGGATGATATCTCGTACTTCATCTTCAGTATCTTTCTGTCAATAAATTACAAATCATATAAATTGGGAATAGAAGGTAATTTAGAAAAGATACTGTTCATATAAATGTCAACCTTGGGCTTAGTTCAGATGATGAATAAAACTGACAATGTGGAAGACTGAGGATAATCTCAGTGGCAATACTTCTTTTTGTATCAGGCCAGAGCTAGCCATACCCAAGCTCACAGGAACAAGTTCTGGATGGCATCATTCATATTTGTCCACAGTAACACACTAAATGCAAGTCTGAATTAAAATTACTAGTGTATACATATATGCATACTATAACCGAAGTTTGACCAAATGAAACCCTTCTCTGATTCGATTTCTGTTTCTTTTGGAGATCTTTCATCCTTTATAAACACTCAGTTCAGCTGTCCAAAGGTCATATAACCTGCTAGGGTGTATAAAGCATCATAGCTTGAGAAAGGAGTATATTCCAAATTATAATCACATTATTGCACTGTGCGTGTACTCCTAGAAGAACCACTTTTAAAACAGTCTATCCCTACAGAAATTCTTGCATTGACATGAGAGTGATCAAAAGGAATTAGTTATGATATTGGGCATAGAAGTTAGGAAACATCCAGTTCTTATTTGCATTTCCAAATTCAAGCTTCATAAAACATAACAAACACAATTTAGCATTAAAAATTAAGAGAGAGAAATGACTGTTTTAATTTAAGAATGTCATCTCTATTCATATACTGATCATTTAGAAAATAAGTATGTCCAAACTGAAATGTTTCATCCCCTGAAAATGAGAACAATATGCAGATTACTATCTACAATAGTCACCCATTGTGCCTTTGTATAACAGAATTTTAGTCTGGATTATTTGTGTCATGCTGTAAGAATGAGCATGGGGGAAAATATTCCAAGAATTTCATTAGTAAAATATTTCTACCTTTTAGAAGTGCAAAAAGAGCACCTACCATACTGAATCGATTTTTGGCCAGTGCAATTAGCTCTTGGTCTCCAGGAGCACAAATGTTTAGGCCAATGGGCAGTAATCTCTTCAGTGCCGCCACAATGAGAGAGGTCTGCATAGAGTACCGGTCACCTTTTCGCTTCATCTTCTTCCTTTCCTGGTCAGAAACTGCTGCCTGCAGCATAAAGCAAAGATGAAAAAAAATCCAATATTAAATAAAAGAATTGTACTAGCAACTTTGCAGTTGTCTCTGGTTTGACAATTTCCTTACTACCTATACAGCTGCAACCGTATCCAATGGAACTGCCATTATAACATTGCCAATATTTTGCACTAATATCTTGAAAGCCCACTGTGTTTCTCAAATGATTACGTTTTGATTCTCAACCCAGTGTTTCAACAGCTATTGTTACAAAAAAAAAAAAAAAAAAAAAAAAAAAAAGCTTCTCTGGAGTCCTCCTGTCTCCTTCCCCTCTGCAAAGAGGAAAATATAAAAAATATAAATATGTTTACATTACCTTGGACATCTTAGATTTGGTGTCACTGATAAGGAAAGACATGTTGTTGATCTCATTTTGTACCACGAAGTTCTGCTCTTCCCTTTTGAAATTCTGGAAATACATACAAGATCTCAGTTAGAAGCACTTATGATATATGAGAAATCTATCTAAACAAACCTTAAATAAAAATATAAATTAACTGGAAATTTGTCAAATCCACAAGATAAGACAAGGACAGAAAAAATTAATGGATGATCAATAATGGCCTTGAATTCCAGCTTTATTTACATGACATAGCTCAGGGGGTTATGTGTTTTGGGGGATTTTCTACGTTAGAGAGAAAGAAATGTTTCTCTAGCTATGAAACAGCTACGATAAAAATCTCACTCCTCCTCTAATTCAATATAAAAATATTGTCTGGGTTTTCCCTTACTAGTAAATAATCCATTCCATTTTTTCCTCCATTATAAATCCCACTGTATTCAGATACATAAGAAACTTTAAATAAAAGACTGAACTTACAAATACACAAGTAACTAGATGATCCAGTATCTACCTACTGTGCAACCAGTTTCTGTGCACAGCGATGTTTATAATAAATCTTACAGTCAAATTCAGGCACAAGTACACAAATAATAAGGCATCTTGTTTCCCAGACTTGAGAGAATTGAAGTTATGGCAGAAAAGAAATTTAGTACAGACAACAGTCCATACAGAGATCCAATGCCTGAAAGTATTTACTCTCTTTTGGTTTTTTTCTTCTTTTTGTTCCAGTATTCACATGAATCATGTTTTATTTTTATGTAAGCACTAAGAGTGATGGTGCCTGATTAGATCTTAATGCAGACCCCTTGGTTCTTGAATACGAACCAGAGGAATCAGACTTGAGAACCAAGGGTAAATTTTGTAGAAGTGGAATTAAGAAGAAATCCTTAACTGGTAAAGTTTATGAAATATTAGTATCATCTAGGAAAAACAAATATTTTATTCAGATAATTACTTGTAAGATATATTTGCTACTTCCTTGCTCTTAAAACACTTACTGACTTTCCTTCATTCAGTCCAGCTACAGACCTAGGCTTAATAATTGAATTATATACCTTTAAGTTTTATTAAAGAAATACAAATCTACACTGCAACACAAATTAAGTAACTGTAATTAGAGCTGCACATTTCCTTCAGAAAACCCTTGTTCCACTAGTTGTGTTGAGGACTTTCCACATGATTTTTAACGTAACTCTGCCATGAGGCTCAAGCAGACAGGCTGTACAATTTAGGAAAATAGATTTTAATGAGACAACTACTACTAATTTAGTAGCCATACCTCCTGGTTATAAAAAGGCTTTGGGGGTGAAAATAACTGATTGACAAAAAAAAAAAAAAAAAAAAAAAAAAAAGGGTAAGGACACAGACTTTAATTAGCTTAATACACAAAAAATAAAAAAACAAAACAAAACAAAAACCCACAACAAACAAACCAGAATTTATACAAAAAAAAAATCTACAATCAGTATTACTAAGCTACAAAACACCCATCAACTCCCCTAGCTACTCAGGCATTTCAAAAGTGTCAGAAAAGTAAAAGTCATTAATACCTTCCCATCTACAGTTTCACTTCTGTCATTAAATGTGTTTTCCCAGACACAATCACTAAATAACTGATCTGCCTACTAAGACACCTAATTAAAAGAAGTATTTGCCAAGGAATTACTTACATGAGACTTTGACCAGTAAATGAAGACCTCAGCTACCATGCGGAACAATTCTTCCGCTTCAGGGTTGGGCTCTTTCAGCCATTTTGCCCTAAAATTTGGTAAAAGGGTGGAAATGTGGATGATCCTCACTGGCTTTATGCTTTGAAATCAGTTTTCAACATTTTACAAGGATACAAGCCAACAAAACCATGCATGCATGCTTTTAATCCTTTCTGGTAGCAGTGGCTTTTTGATGTCCTATTTCAAAACCTTTAAAATCCTTTCACATTAATCCTAGGTCTAATCCAACAGATTTGGATTGCACCTTTTTTTTCGGTTTTCGTTTGAAAAAGACCCCAGCTCCTCCTAAAAGTTATAAAGCATCAACTTGAACAACTTCAAGATCAGCAGGCTGAGTAAAAGCTACTTTAATTCAGTGCTAGGCATATCAAGGGATAAGAGACAGTATCAATAAACAGGAAGATTTTACGAGATTCATTGACCTGTTCCTCTCCACATACCTGTTATAGTCCACAAATCTAATCAACAAAGGGTAGAAGGCATAGAGGTCCCGTGCCAAAGTGGTGAACTCATCTAGGATGAGCAGTTCAGCCTCCGACATGTCACCTCTGCCTTCTGCTCTTAGATGTTCTTCATCCGATACAACCACTGCTGCTTTTTTCTTTAGCTTATCCATCAGTGGCAGGAAGTGTGTCTTTAAGAGCTGTGGCTTCGCTTTGCTTATGATGGGCTGGGAAAACACTATTTAAGGCAATATTATAGTATATACCTGGCCACAAAATATAAACAAAAACTTTTACCTTTCCCCTCTTTCCTGGATCTTATTTCTAGGTTATAGAGTAAAATCCTGCCCCCATTGAAATCAGCAGAAGTTTTGCCAAGAATTAAATGTGGTCAGGATTTCACATAGTCAATTCACTTTGTCACTATGAGGGCAGAAATGACAACTTCACAGACTAAGCTTGCAAGATCATAAAACTTGAAATGCCTCTTTACTGGCATTCTGTCAATGTATTGGTATTTGCTTGCATAATTTTATTGAGTAACGTAGAAGCTGTTTAATGGTACCTATGGGTGGATACATATATAGCTACATAGTGCACACACAAGTTTTCTCAGCCACTGGCTCCTCTTTTGAACTTTGCTTTTTAGCTTGAGCAAAGTAGAACTTGAAAGCATGCTCTAGTTATTTGCAAACCTACTGAAACAGCCTGCCTGTATTTCTTATGCACATTAGGACACTGGAAGGCTTGTGTGTAGATAGAAATGAGACTGATTCAACCATCCATCAACCAGCCATTTGAGACTTGTTAGCACAAGCTTTTTGCAAATCTACTCATAAAAATGAATATGTAAATTAGCACTTCATCTGGGCCCATTAGTGCAAAACATTTGTAACATATCCATTAGATTACAAAGAATTTTAGGCAGTTACCACTTATCCTTAGAGTGCATTACATTACTAACCCTCAAAAGACTAGGAATCCAGACTGCTACCATGAATGAAATTACTAGTACAGTAAGTACTTATAAGTCATAAGAAAGCCTAACTGAAAAACTGAATTCAAAACACTGAAGTGACTTTTCCTTACAGATTGTACACTGAGAATTAAACCATTTTAAAATAAATTTTAAGGTGTTATCACAATGAAGTTAATGTAAGGATTACTAAAATGACATATGCATTTCCACATTTCATTGTAATAGATACATTAGATACACAGCTTCAAAACAATATTTTAGGGATCCACACTCATACAGAATAGCAAGGAACTGTGTAATGCCTGCAAATGGAAACTTGCTATATAATGAAAATGGGCTAAATAACTATAGTCCTTTAATTCAGTATAATGCAAAATGCATATGTGCATATTCTGGGGAAAAAGAAATAGTCTAATGTACTTCTTATATTACTTATTAAGTGATTAAAACATACTGCTTACACTGCTCTTTCTTTATACTTAATATTTCTGGTTCGTCAAGATCTGTATTGTTTAAAAACATAACAATATGAGTGTTGTTCTATTCCAGCTTTAACAGGGTAAATATAGAATAATTCAGAGTGTGTATATACATATATATACACATTCTGAATATATACACACATGCTTGTTTGTTTGTTTGTTTTTATATCTTACCTGCTAATCTCTTCATCCAAGCTCCTTCATCAATACCAAGGTTATTATAGATGATTTTCAATATGTTACCCAACAAAGTGTTCATGTGCTCTGACGTCAAGGCTGTGCAACACATTTCAGCCTTGTCAGGGTTGTTTTCTGGCCCATGCTCCCACCAGTGTGACATGTAACTACATAGCATAGGCAGTATTACTTCCATGATATGTGGCATTTGTGTGTAACGAATACCAGACTCTGCCAGTTCCACAATTTCTTCCATTAGCTTCACCAAGGAAGGAATATTTGGGCAAAGCTCTTCTACACTAGTAGGCAAATTGAGAACTATTGAAGAAAAAAAAAAAAATCCAAAAATCAATGAATGAAGTCATAGAGGGGAAAATAATTCTTTTCAATTGTTATTCCGTACAACTTTTGTTTTCTTTTTACATTTATGCCCTTCTGATCCAAGGGGAAAAAACCAAACACAACAATAAAAAACAGGTATTTTCATGCCATTGAGCAATAAACTGTTTATATATAAGCTTCAATAATAAAACTTTCTATAATAAAAATAATTCCTACATGGAAGCTTCAACACTGCAATTATTATGGAATGAATTTAGAGAAATTCAGTTTGCTATATTCAAAATAAAGCTTAAATTTCAGAATTTCTTCCAACATAAGCTTTGCAGTTGAGGAAACAAATTGATACAATGAAACATCTCTCCACAACACATCAGATGAGACTTGGAATGTTAATAGAAGGAAAACAATCATTGCCTGACATAATGAGTAGAGCAGATACTGAGAAACTGACTTCTGGAGGTGAATTTCTGATTGTAAATATTTACTTTTCAAGTTATTTGAATTATCAGTTCCTTCCTCTGAAAAGGCACTGCAGTTGCCTTTATTTTTGGAGACAGTTTCTTTCATCTACAAATAAATATCTGTAAGCACAACTATTAGCTCTTGAACGTCTAACGTCCTAACATAAACATACAATGAGATATATAGATATCTATATATTGAAAATTTACCCTGCAACTTGTGAATCCAAATGGTTGTACCAACATAGCCTAAGGCTATTCTCTTTCCAAAAACAGTCTCTTCTCCTACTTAGACCCAAATACATTTTACACAGCCATCGCAGTCTCCTTAAAACTCAATGCAATTTGGAAAATAAATTAAAATTTCTGTTAAAAATCAATGAAAATACAGCTGATTGTCTTCTAGATGTATTAAAATAGCTGTCCTGGTTTCAGCTGGGATAGACCTAAATGTCTTCCTAGTGCTGTGTTTTGGATTTAGTAGAAGAATGTTGCTAACACACTGATGTTTTTAGTTGTTGCTAAGTACCTACCCTATAGTCAAGGACTTTTCAGCTTTTTCAGTGCACAAGAGCCTGGGAGCGAGCATAGCCAGAACAGCTGGCCCAGCTGGCCAATGGGGTATTCCATACCATGTGACGTCACGCTCAGTATATGAATGGGAGGTGTGTTCCAGGAAGTAGCGATCGCTGTTTTGGGGCATTGCCCAGCAGGTGGTGAGCAACTGCATTGTGCATCACTCATTTCGTATATTCTATCTTTTTTTTTTTT